ACGTGTTTCTGAGAAACGTGCTGTTCTAGAGGACGGGACGTGCTCTCGTTTCCTCCTCCCCCGTCCGTTCTCTCGTTTTAATGTCGGCAAATGATGTAGTGCGTCCAAATTTTGGCGCAGCCCAGGCAGGGAAAGAGTATTTAAAATATATATTGGTAATTTTCGTTGTTAAAGGAGGAACCATCCTAGGACCATAAACACTTCTCAAAGCGAAAACAACTACAAGAATCGCATTCACATCGGCGAAAAGGGCAGACTTGAGAGATCCGTTTTAGAGCCCAGGTGAAAACATTGAGGATCAGAGAGATTCCGCCCCCTGTCTCAGGTGCCTGTGCCTTTGAACTCCTTTTCGCGCCTCCTGCACTCATACTCGAGTCCTCTTGCACTTGTGCGCTCCTGAAGATGGGCCGCGACCGACACGCGATGTGACCTGCTTTGTACTTGTACGTGTGAAAATCCCCTCGAGTGAGGCCTTTGAACGTCGTAGGATGAAGCAGCCCCTCTTTCAAATAACAGCGACTGACCTGTGTAAAGGATGTGTTAAAGCGCTTTCCGTAAGTGCCCAGGCAGTGTGGAATGTTCAAGTAGGACACTGATCAGCCAGCCTCTGTGATGCTCTAACAAGCAGGTAGTGTTTGAAGTGTATCTTTTCACTGAACCGTTGAGCCTTTGGCTTTTACATACCGCACGCTAAAGGGTCTGACACTAATTTATTGCAGCTGCAATTGAATTTGGTGAAATGTTCTAACCGAGAATGGGGCTAGAGAGCTGAGACGTTCTCCTCGTTTCTCTTGCAACCAGTCAGCGTTTGTACTTTCAATTCGAGTTCACAACATGACCCAGGAGTGCCGGAATGGGGTAACACTCGGCTTTGGGTTGCGTGATTTACACGAACGATGAGGGAAAACAGTTTCAGAACCTCACATAGACTTCTGGAAGCTGATATAGCTGTGTAGTTGTGGTAAATCGGGCATGTCGCGCAGCTCCAGTGGCGCAATCGGTTAGCGCGCGGTACTTATATGGCAGTACTCTGCAGAGCGATGCCGAGGTTGTGAGTTCGAGCCTCACCTGGAGCAGTGTGTTTTGCTAGTGACGTCATTTTAGTGCGCACCAGATCACCTGTGCCCTGGCGCTCAAGAAGAAATTCCTTGCTTTTTGCCAATGCAGCCTCAGCAAAGCAGGTGATCACGAAGGCCTGTTTTTCAAAGCCTTGAAAAACGTATTCACCCCTAGATTTTCGTTCTGGTAAAATCATCGTCCGCACGCATGTACAGATGAATGCTTTTCATCTCTGCGTTCATCAAGACGTACATATAATTGGGCAAGGTATTCAGTAAATACGATCCAAAATACATGAGCGTTTTCAGTCCAGTCCACTCACAAAATATAAGGCGAACAATTTCTGCGCACACAATGAACAGTAACATTATGAAATCAATAAACCAGCTTTTACTGTAGTAAGAACCGTTTTTCTTGGGCACCTTTACACATGAACACGAACAATACTTTTCGTGGAGACAAGTAACTTTTGCGGGCGGTTTTCTTTTCGTGAGCGTGTTCAGCTGTTAACCAAAAGCACCCCTTGAGCCATAAAGACCAGGAGTCAAACCAAAAGAAAACGTTTAACAGCCATCACTCAAAGGCACCGCTGGGATTCGAACCCAGGATCTCCTGTTTACTAGACAGGCGCTTTAACCAACTAAGCCACGGCGCCGCTGAGAGCTGTTTCGCCATTAAGTTCTAATTTTTCGATATTTATCAAATTGATCGAATGGTATTTTTAGACAACTTTGCCTAAAAATTACATTAAAAACTTTCTTCTCAGCAACTTCTAGTCATTACCAAAAATCTTAAAAACCCATGGAGTTTGAAGGAGTCGGAAAAGTGTATTCTGACAGAGGTTAAGCGGGTCCAGAATATTCTGGGTGATTTTTCTGCCTCTATCATAAACTAACTCATAAATACAGTGGTGATGCCTCATCTTATCTCTAGTCTCGGGTTCTTCCTCAGGGTCTCGCCTGGACCTGCGGTTCAGTCCCACTTCAAAGCGACTAGATGTCTGGATTGGGTTGGATCGGATTGGTTATTGTATGTCCTCCCATTGTCCCTTTAACCTTCCACTGGGAGAATAGCTGTGTTCCCTCAATATCGGCTTGCGCCTAAAATGTATTGTTTTTAATCCGACGTTAATTTTTGCATTTATTTATTTATTCTTAATGACATTTTATATCCAGGACGTATCCATTTGGAATCAAATTAAGTTGCACTAAGAAAGCTTTTGTCATTATTCATACATCATCAAGATATAGTTTTTGATTATCCTGCAGGATAAACACTAATTTCGGGAAAAAGAGAGCTTTGTGGCAGCGGTGGGATTCGAACCCACGCCCCCGAAGAGACTGGAGCCTTAATCCAGCGCCTTAGACCGCTCGGCCACGCTACCATGAAAACTTTCCTTAAGGGCTTCAGAAATCGCACGCACTAGTTTCTTAGAGGACCCGTTGGAGATCATTTCCAATACTGGAAACTGAACTCGGGTTCGGTTTCAGCCCTTAGAGCATGAAATACTTTATAGTCACACCCGAGGAAGGCTTCACAGCCGATACGTTGTGCTTTCTCTCTTCTCTTTTCAGCATGGAATAAACCTATTACTTGTTCCTTTAAAGTCTATGTTAATAGATCTATCTTCATTAGTATACACAAGAACGCATTTTCTATCTCTTCATGGCCTTTCGTGCTTTAGTTTATTTTAATCTGGACTAAATGCTATTTTTGATTCAGTACTGCCCTGTGGTCTAGAATGTAAATTGTATTTATATTATAATCCTACACTGAGCGAACGTAAGAAGATCACCGAGATACTTTTAAGACAGGAAGGCGCTGGAGATCCAGTGGCACTTCAAGGGCTATGTTTTTTTTTTTCATCTCAAACAAGCTAAAACACACAAGGGTTCGTCTGCTCCATCAAAGAAAACCTGGGTTCGAGTGATCCTGAGTCAAACATCAAGGCTGTTAGCAGAATGCGACACCTGCCATTATGTAATTATTTCAAAGGCATGGCGCACCCCACTTTCGCCTCGCCACTGTGCCCTCTGCATCAAAGCGCCCCCCAAACAATTGATCCCTCTAAACTGTGCCATGGTGTTAATGTGTCTACGCTGGGCACAGGGAAAGACGTTAGATGTCATTTTTTGCCCAAGCAGCTTCAAAAACACACCCAGAACAAACACTCCTAGCATTAATCGCGCACTGGGCATCAAAAGATTAGCAGTAACACCCCGTAAGAATCAAACGAAATAAAATCCGGCCTGTGTCATGCAAATGCTTAGAAGCGAATTTAAGGACAGGACGGTCCATCGAGAGGGGATCATTTGGGTTCTGGAGCTGAGAGAGACGAACCGGACCGGCAGCATGGCACTAGACCGAGAGACCGAGGAGCTTCTGAGCACCATTTTGTCCCTGGAGCAGGACTACTGCACGGGCCCAGTCCAGTTGCCGTCGTGGGCGCTTGATGACGGCTTTTTCCGCCTTAACGGTAAGTCTTGGCAGTCGTTTCGTTTCACGAAAAGGCCTTTTCTAATTGGAAAAAAAAATGCTGTTAATTGAATCGAGCATCGCTTCTGAAACGAATGCATATGAGTAGTGATGTATAGGAGGAGTACGTAGCGTGAGCAAAAACGTTCAATTTCTGCTCCCCATCAATCGTTGCTCGCTCTCCAAGAGCGCTTGCGTGCTACGACATAGTTATAACGTTCTGGCAGGTGCAGCAGGTTTTTTTTTTTAATTTCGACTTCGCACCACAGCTCGGTCCACCTCTGAATACGCCACAGGGTTGACCATTAAGATTCTCTTCTGTCGCTCGCTTGGTTTAGCTCTCCCGGGCCCGGACGGCGCTGCTGCCGAGACACGCCTCCGCCAGCGGGACGAGAAGAAGGAAAACGCGCCCCGGCCGCCGAGCGCAGCCCCGGCGGCGCGGAGTGGGCACCCGGGAGCCGCCGGGAATTCCCCCGTGGAGCTGGCGAAGGGGAAGAGGAGGAAGACCCTCTTCACCAAAGAGCAGACGGACGTCCTGAAAAGAAGCTTCGAGGCCGATCCCTATCCCGACTACAAGAAGCGCACCCGGCTCTCCGAGCTCACCGGCATCCAGGAGTCCAGAATCCAGGTGAGTTGCGCTGCTGCAGAGCTCTTGTTCTGGTAAAAGCGGGCGCGGGGAGACGGGCACAGCGTTCGTGCGGAGCTGCAGAGAGGCAGCCGAGGAAAGGCGGAGATTTCATGACCGGCTGAACGCCGCCAATGTTCTCTTTCCAGCCTCTTTGCAGTTTGAAAGTCGTGGTTTGTGCGTTTGCAATTGAAGGTAAAAAGGAGCACAGAAGTAAAATATTGCCAAACCAGCTTATAGGATGTGGGTGGGTTGTGTTGTTGGTGGACGGTAGGGGTCGGTTGTCATCATCACCAAGAGTGGGAAATAAGTCAGCAAAGGGATCTGACATCCAGGCCGGTTATCTACTGGCTAATGTCATGAAAATTAATGGATCTACTCATAGACTCCTATCTGAGGCAGGCGATAACTTCATTGCTAATGCAACGGCAGCTTAACATGTTGTTGTTCAGAAATGTTTTGTTATTCAGTTTGTGACTTAACAAAATCAAACGCGAAACATTTCGGAACCATGCTTAGTCTGTTCTAGGTTCAATTATAGCTTTAATTGTACGAGCTTATCAAAAGGTCAAATTTCATGCAACTAGTTGGCAGTGAAGTACTGAACTGAACTGTTTCCTACAAAATTACAGACAGTAGCGGCGACTCCACCAGCGCAACAGTTTCGGCGGTTGCTTTGCTCATAGCGCTACTGTAGATACTATGTCGGCTAACTTGGTCCTGTGCAAAAGCACATTTCGTTTTTGCAAATAACTCAATGTCATTATTTAGGATTAATCCTGAGTGTTTTCTTCTAGGTGTGGTTCCAGAACCGCAGGGCTCGTCATTTACCTCGTATCAGACAGAGAAACTGGCCGTATTGGATCCCGGGCCGAACCATGCCCGTCCCCTTCGCCCACATCCAGAACTTCTATCCCCAGCCTGCTGCAGGATGTTCAGCCGCGACACAGTGCCCCCTACCGGGCGGGGGCGCAGCGTGGTAGCCCTAATCTCCGTCCCAGCTACCCGAAAGACTGACACGCGTTACCCGTGGGGCTTAACAGAGACTTCGGGAGCCTCATAGAGAAAGATGGACACCGAGTAGACTGATTTTCTCGCTACATTTCTAACCAAATTTCAAACAAAGCAGCAAAATACCACCACCAACAAATACGGATTATTTACTTGGAACTGGGCATTCCTCAAATGACACGACGTCATGATTCTTTTAAATGAACAGAGTTGATTGAGTTTTAATTTATGAACCTTAATTACTGCCCAGCACATCCTGCTTGCATTTAAGCTCTGATTTGTACAAGAATACGGATGTGTTTTCAGTTCCGAAAATAACAGACACCACCGCCCGTGCAGACAGACGGACCCTGTGACATTGTATTTGAAATAATGGACTTTTTCCGAAGGAGAACCGAAACACGGAACACAGGACGCGCATGGATACTACAGGGGAGCGTATTTTTACACAGAGAGTTGTGGGAGTCTGGAACAAGCTACCCGACGGCATTGCCGGACACCCTTCTTTCTAGGACTCGTGAAAGAGATTTTTGGAATAATTAGCCGCTAGCAACCCAAAAACCATAGAGGGGGAAAATAGTCTTAAATAAATTTATTTATGATATATGATTTTATTTATATTATATTTATTTTTTATAGATCTCGGGTGATCTAAGTTCCGAGTTAAATAATACAGGAGAGGACTAGTTATCGGATCTCCAGACATTACGGGCTTTGAAAGGGTGTGTAAAAATGCGCTGGAATATAAAGCCCAGCCAGTCCGTTTGCTAGGACTGTAAAATCTGTAACATGATGGAGTTTCAATCTTCATTTTTTTCCGTTTGAGGCGTCTAGTGGTTAATCGACACTTCTTAGATGTTTATTTATTTGCTAACAACGACTTTGTGATATAGGCTTCACACACTGTGCGTTTCCTTTTCGATTGATAAACTACGACCACCCTAGTGAAATAATAACGAAACAGCAAGACGAAATATTTTCTGCCGGCGGTTTCCACAGAATAATTTTGAAAAAAACGATTTTTTTTACACTGGACATTGTAAACATTGTAAAATGTTGTAAAAAATTATGCAATCTCTTATACAAATAAATTCAAATCAATAAATTACTGTGGTTTTTACTTGCGTGAAACTTTTGTTGTTACTGTTTTCGATGTCACTTTGTGTTGAATGTTTTCGTAATGGGTATGTAGCATCCGGGGACAGATGTCTCACCAAGTTTTATTTAAGGATTTTTCCAAGATGCTGCGTGTAGACACCGACACTTACATTCAAAGAACACAAACTCAATAGTCAGGATATGTGCACTCAATCATTTTATTGGGCTGCAGAAAACAAAATCAGTTACAGGCTGACCTAAAAGATAAAGAGTACAGATTTATTAAAAAAACTCGACTGTTGAATCGGTTGAACGATATATTTTTTGTCACAGCATAGGCTGAAAGCTCCAGATTTGTGATAAGCAATGAACGAACCTAAAACGATCGTAATCTCTAAGTCCGCAAGCTCTGTCAAATCACAGTCCCCATTCATTAAAGGAAAAACAACTACCGGATATTTTTTTTTCCCTGAGCTTGCGGTATGTACAGCAGGTGACAGCGGCCGTGTGCGTGAGAGAGACTGATCCTTATGCGGCTCAGTCTGTATGTATCCGCGTGTGGCGGCCTGAGATTGTCACACAGAAGACCCCTCGCCAAAACGTAACGCGGTCAAACTGAATTTTCCTCCACGGCCTTTACGTCCCCAGAGGTCCACCGCTGCTTTCTCCCGTATCAGGAGCTCAAACTGGGCTCCAGGTTCTGGTCTTCCTCGAGAATCACGAGGCGAAACGCCTGCTTTTTTCACATTGTAATTATTAACTAATGTTTATCTTCATGTTATCTTATCGTTTTCCGACACGGGTTCCTCGGCTTAGTAAAGCCGACATTTTTTCTGCTTCGCCCAGCTTGTCTCCTGAGCGGTGAGCGGAGGTCGAGACCAAAGTTCCTACAACCACCCACAGAAGAGCCGGGGTTACGCGTGGTTGAGCAGCTCAAGACGCATAATAAGGGCTGGATTCCCTTGGGGTTGTGGGTTTCAAGCCGGTTGCGTCTACCAAAGTTTAGAAAACGTTGCTTCGAAATCCTTCCACCGTTATTAAGCCGAGCTTCTTATAAACAATACAAGCAAACTTATCACAGGCGATACAGAAAGCTGTATCTCAGTCTGTACAGTTGCTTTTGACCTCGCTCTGCCAAGTTAATCCATCTCTCTAATTCCCATTTCGGTTTCCCTCTATAGTCTATATTACTAGAGATGTGCATTTTCTCTGTCAATACCTGCCAAAGGAGAAACTGTGATTTCGCGGTGCACGCTTCACAGTAACCGCATTATCGTGTGATCAGGTTTCATCAAGGTGTTGAGCCGAGGTCTCTGGAGGAAAGCTACAAGACAGCACGGGACCGCACCTGTAATTCAGGAAATGTCATTATTTTCTCGAGTCTTGCCGAGGATGTGTCAGAGACAGACACACCGGCACGGTGTGCGTGAATCGCAACTGTTTCGTTCTCGTAACTCTTAACAGGTTGTCGCTTTGTTGTGGTTCTCGGTTTTATCTTATCTTTTTTTTTTGTTTCGTCCGAGGCCAGGCCTGTTCTGCAACAGAGCTGTTAAGGTATACCAGGTAAAAAAAACAACAAAAGTGTTGTCTTCGAAAACCATACGCTATCGAAAGCTCTGCTTTATATATATATATCATGAAATGTCATTTGCCAAACCGCTTTACACGACTCTGTGTCGCGGGAAGCCGGAGCCTACCCAACGAGCGCAAGGCAGGGCACACCCAGGACTGGGCGCCAGTCCATCACACGCGAGTGCAAGCCAATCATACATGGGGAAAATCCGGAGACCACGGTTAAGGCCGAGGGGGGGAATTTGGCCCGGACACCGGGATACCTCCCTACTCTTATGGAGAAATGCCCGGGGATCTTTAATGACCACTGAGACAGGACCCCGGTTTAACATCTCATCCGAAAGACGGCGCTTTATATATGTCAACCCGAAATCACAGCGACCGAGAGGCTGAGCAGGTATTCAAAGTCTCTTCTACGCCGCGGAAGCTGAAGAGCCGAAGGGAGGAGTTCAGCTGGCCCGGTCGAACTAGTAACGAGCTGGCCGAAACGTTGTGTTTTTCTTTCCTCTTTTATTTCAGCATGGAATAAACCGATTACTCGTTCCTTTGCAGCCTACGCATGCTGACGCAGCTCCCCACCTGAACTGGTAACGAGCTGGTCGAGCTCGTTAAGAGCGGAGTTGGAATGGAAATCCGAAGTCACGCCTGCCCGCACGGACCAGGCTTGGGGTGAGGCTCTAGAGATGGGGTACGCAACCCTGCACCCCAGATCCTGGGCACCGGAGAGCCTGTGTTGAGCGAACTGTAGTGGTCAACCTTATCTGCGAGGTTTACCGGTTAAAAAGGGGGTCCGCGCAGGTCTGGTTGTAGGGGGTCTGAGGGACCGCTGGGGGAATGAGGGGAGCGAATCTGTCACACTTTATGCACTGTTTCTTGGCGTCACTTGTTATGGTCCTGATGTTGCTTGTTTAATTCCCCCAAAAAATTGGAAACAAAAAATGTGAGAGACGGGATGCCGATGTTCGATTCCTGCGGTGTGTTTGGACAGCCCAACATATGAACTGTGCCTTTTGAAGGCTGGCCTTATGTCGGAGTTAGTCGTGTCTGTTTATGGAGGTGATTATTGATTGTATTGATGAATGGTCACTCTTACAGCATAAAAGCCCGAAGATGACACCTTCTAGTAAAAGGCGACCTTGCGTCCCTGGGTGGGCTCGAACCACCAACCTTTCGGTTAACAGCCGAACGCGCTAACCGATTGCGCCACAGAGACCTGCAGGTACCTGGACACGCTCTTCCATGGACATGGTGCGTATACAACGATGTTTTCTCATCCCGCTTATTGATACTAGAAGTGTTGATGCTATGGGCAGTTCTAATAATAGCAGTGGATGTTGTTCTTCAAAGTACCTTTGAACAGATATCTCCAATGACATCGTAGTAGTCATTTTCTCAAAGCTTCCAGCAGGGGGCGCTGATGGCTTTTGTTTTTCTTTTCTCAGTCTGATTGCGTCAACGAGAGATTCCCCGGGTCCGTGGCGGGGAAAGTAACCGTGACAATGAGGTCAGCAGATTGAAAAGTCTGTGATGGTTTTTGTGGACATGCTGCAGGGGCTTTTTATGTAACTCTGTGTTAGGAAGAATGTCGACATGGTTTGGTAAAGGACGCAAGCTGCCCGAGTCACGTCAGCGTGCGAGGGGGACAGTGGTTTCATAATGCAGCGCTTGACACGTGCGCTTTAAGCCTGGGTTATAACCTCCAGTGGCCTAACGTCCTCGCGGAAACCACGGCTTGTCCGCCCAGGCCAACGCCTCGTGAAAACAGCAACACCTGTGTAGCAAAAAAGCGCGCGTCTTCGCTCCTACAGCAGGATATTTGTACATCTGCCCTGAATGTTTTTGCTCTAGTTATGCGGACGCAAAGGTTGGGTTTTCTCCCGCTTGTTCAGCTTGTTCTGGTGGACACACAGCTATTTATACTTGCGTTAAACAAAACCGCAACCAAGACGTTATTCTTCTAAGGAGCAGTTGATTCGAGGCAAAGAGCAAATCACGGCGGTTAAACTAGTGTGTTCACTTTTTACTTGATTAAATACATACAAAATGTACATTTGAATAATATTAACGACGGGACGTGGCATTGACAGTAATTATCTGGGTCTGAATGCTGTACAAGAAAATATTGGACAACCTATTTAAGCAGTTAAGCAATTATACTATTTCGCTAATAATTACTAATCCGTACATTTTGCATTACAGTAATGCTACATGTGTTAGAGGTACTCGCGCTCCACCAGCTGTGTTTCAGTAATAAAGTGTATGACACGCCTTAAAGTTGCCATTCTGAAGTGTCACTAA